CCACTCAAACAGTTTAAATTGAGCAATGAGTATTACTGTCAAAAGAAAAAAAACTGACACACTTACCGTAGCGCTTGCCTGTGGCCGGGGCTCCACATACGGCGCACGGCATACCACTATAGGAGCGCGAGGCTTTCCTCACAGCTGTTGGAATCGATCGATGATGTGGTGAATTCAGGCACTTTTGCCAAACCTGTAAGGATTAGTGGGACGACTTTAAATTGCTCAATATGTGCGAACAAAATCGGTTCATGAATAAATGCAGAGCACCGATACATTGACCAGTATTGCTAAGGCAGCTTGGACCTTAAAAGTTTAAGCGTAAAATCTAAAATACAGTTAAACCATGACTAAAACTAAAACTTATTCGATCATAAAACAAATGAAACGTCGTAGCAAAAAAGAACGATCCATGAATAATTCAAGGAGCTTTATTGTTTCACTTGCTCATTCAGTTAAATTTGTAACATCTTGACGTCTGCCCATTCAACAAAATGTAGATACCAACAGTGAGAATTTAAGGCTTTGATTCTGGAGTCACAAAGCTTTACCTCCCGATGCGTTTGCAAGGTGCATAGAACAGTTTCAACGGCGTTGGGAATGTGGGCGCACCTTGCTGCCCATTTCTGTCGGCCAATTGCAGTGCCAACCCAGATTATTAGTCGTGTCAGACACATTTCACCTTTTCAAACCAACAGTAGCCTTTTTGGAAGGACAGTAATGAAGTCCTTGTCACAATTGGTTTGGAACCATTAAAACAGAATATCTCTTAACTTTCTGTAATAAATAGCAGCGAAACAAGAGTTAGAGAGCCTGAATTTGCGACGACTGGACCAACATACAAGTCAAAAAGTAATGACAGTTTGACTAGTTGAGTATGCACTCGGCTGATAAAATTTAGCTTAGTTACATCTGCCGAACTACTTGAAATTACATAATAAACAGGTGATAGAGCAGCTCTGAAAAGAATGAAGGCCGGTGAGGCCGACTCACTGTGTAGTTTGAAAAGTTGGGAGAAGCACTGGTAGTAAACGACGAATGGGACCGGAGGAGAGGTGAGGAGAAAGAGTGCAGATGTTGATGAGATATACCACGGTTGTTTCCCATTGAGATAGGCGAGGGCTGCATGTACTGAGGACAGACGGATGTATGTGGCAAGTACCGAGTTGAAGCATAAGAATAGCTTGGGTAACTTGTAATGCAGGTGCTCTGAGAAGCCAAACCCCGCAACTGCGAGGCTACAGGGATCACGGTACAATGAGTAGTGGTGACACCGTAGGGAGTGGAGGCTTGAATGTTGGATTGAAATCCACCATAAAGCGAACCAAGATCAGGTTTCGGCGTTCCAGAACCAATCTGCAAGTCGGCTGGAAGATGCATAGACAACCAAAAATGACGAAACTACCGTTTATAACAACCTAAACTAGCATCGATACGTAAACAAATGTGGTCGAAAACAAAATCCCACGTGCATAAAAATCAAAACACTTGACAAGTGGAAAGCCGTTCTCAACCACAATTAACAAAGGTCGGATAGTATTAGTGAGATGGTAACGCTATTGGGACCTTAAATTAGAATCTATTTCTGTAAGAAAAGTTGGAAGCAACTCCAATACATTAACTGATTACAGTACTAACAATTAGAAACAGCACAGCCGACAGCTGACTTCCAACGGCGCATTATGGATTATGGCCGCTGAAAACATAGAAGAATGCAAGCGGACATACCATTCAAAATCACTTCGGGTTTTAGATCAACCAAAGTTTTTTCATCATTTTCTGATATGAGTGAGGCGAATATAGAGTTATCAAAAGCGTTGAGAGCGGGAGGGGGAGGTTCAGCGGTAGTTGGCATGGCGTGCAATGGATCGGGACCCTCATTGGCAGGAGGTGTGACAGATGGAGTATTATTTGGGTTCGACCAGACTTCCATTGACATATTTATTCAATGTGATATTGAACCTAAAGTAAGTAGTAAATTAACACTGAAGCACAACAAAAAGTATAGGTATCAGTAAACTACCAACACGAACTAGAAAGCCGATCAGAGTGGATGAACATCTCGCAGAGAGAATTACAAACGAAGGAAGGACTAGAATATGTATTTATGCACACATCGATTGAGAATCTAAAGCCGTACTATCTCCATGTGGGTACTCACATGCAGGCTCTGAACTCATGACGGTAGTAGTCAGTCAGCAGTGCTCAAAAATTGAGTAATGGGACTCCGACGAAGGAATCGGAGAGGTAGCAGCCCCTAAAAGCTTAATCCATCAAACAGCAAAAAATTAAGATAAGCGCTAATTTTACTGAAAGTAGCCACCAAATTATTCTGACCACACAAATCGAATGCAATTTTAGCCACCCGAAATTCGGCATTACGTCAATTGCATAAAATTACAAAGCAAAAATAATTGGAAAACATGATAAGAATATATGACAGGCCATCAGTCTAGAACTCATTTGCGATAGCTATAAAATAATCCGTAGCTTTATGAAATGCCGAATACCACCAAAGGAGGTAAGTTTGTAGGTCGTCCGCATTAAAAAGTGGAACAATGATAACGACCATCAGATAGTCAAGAAGAAACCAATTTTATAGTGACTTTGCACTAGGGGTTATCGCAAAATTATATATAAATGCATTAAGATTAAAACGCCTAACTCGAAAAATATCTACGAGCAAAGAAGTTAATTAACTTTCATTTAATTCACAAATCCATCGTGTTAAGTCAATGATTTCGAAGATGAAACAGGTACATTCAAGGTAATAGCGAAGTGGAAGAAAAGCGAGCTTAAAAGCCAAAAAGAGAGGCAAGCAAGAAGGTTCCAATTCATTGTCAGCTTTATTGATTAATGACTGCGACGTCTACTCAAAAAAATATGAACACAGCAGAATGAAGAACTCTGAAGGTAATTTAAATACCCAAATTTGAGTAAACAAAAGCGGCCTTCGAAAAAGCACTGACAATGAAAGAAAAGGCAATAAGTTTCATGCCTAAACTGTATTAACATTCAGCTAAGTGATGACTGATGATAAGCAATCGGAAGTATTTGAATCAACTAAACTGTCTCGGGATGGGGACATAGTCATGAATAAGAAGACACAAAAGCTAAGATTCTAAAGAACGAATAAGCTCAAGTGACAGAACTATACAAATCCGCGTCTTCTATATCAATGCTATATCAGCGGTAAGAAGAATTCAACAATGTCACAGTTAAAAATGCAAGACAAGGACCTTAGAATGCAAACCCGAAATGAACACACGAAGGTAGTCAGAGAAAAGGTACTCCGAGTACCAAATGGATTAAAACGACTGACTTTACATACAAAATAAATTACACATTGAGTAACAACGTCTTAACTAGGTGCAAAGTACTAATCCTAGTCGAAACGTATTTGGGTTTTATATTAAATTTTGATTGTTGAATAACTCACAAATTATGTGACATTTGGGACGTATAGATGAGCCAAATCTACCCTGTTCGCCATAACTGGGACCACAATCTAACTGCAAAGACTGGTATTTACATTTTTTGTAGTAGATTCGTGCTTAGTTGCCTAGTTTTATGACTTTTTAACATGTTATAGACAAATTTTGTGATTTTCTCACGGCACAAGAGGAGACATGTCTGTATTTTCCATCTACAATAGAAAATCTAATAGTGAAGCAAGCGTTTGATATGTAATATATACTAGTTTGTTTAAGTGGACTTTTATATAAGGGAGGCGGGAACCTATTGGAAACGCGAATCACGTGCGCGAAGACGGTGAGGATTCTCTTTCCAGTTGATATCTCCTATTCAGCTCATCTGAATCCCAATCCCCATTCTTTCTATAACAAATGCCAAATAAATCATCTGCAACCAACTCTCTTGAAGTCTGAGGTTCAAGTGTCTGAAGATAGGCAGGCAGCTCTTAAAGGATAATCGGATGTCATATAAGTGAGGCATCACATTAATATCTAGGGGGATATGCACATTTACCAAACAAATGGAGTCCGATTTGCTGACTTAGCGCAATCCATAACCCATCTGCGAAGGCAAATCATCGCTTAAACGTTCTGACTGTAGCGTCCCAAGACTTCCTAGCCGATACAAGAAGTCAGTAAGTGTAGCTGGATACATGTATTTCGAAGACGACAGGGCAAATGCACCTGAGCATTACCCGAAGGCCAGCCCGACGTGTACAAGGGCCAGACAAACCCTAAAGTGACCGTCAAGCGTCATGTGGTCACATAAACAAAGTATTTCGCTTCCCCTCTCTTCTTTTAAGGCGGCGTCATCGGCACTCCCCTTGGTATGCCTCCCACGCCAGCCATCACAACACATTCGGTACTACATGAAAGCACCCACGAGCCAACCGTACCAGTCGACAGATAACATCAGACTGAGGCACCGTACCTGTTCTCCTCGGCAGCTTCAACTGCATCTGGAGTTACGTTCTGTCTGACAACCAGATTCGGGACCGCATGCACCTGTTGACCATTGATTGCTTCCAGGAATAGACGGTGGAACTCTGGTCTCAAACAGATATATAACAGGGACGGGACGAGCCACTGTCCCGCATGTAAGGAGAACCATGGTGCCAATTCCGACACCTAAACACGGATTTTGTATGGAAAACTCCGACACGAAACTTTTCCAGGTAGTTCACGGCGGCGTCGCTGCAGTTGTTAATCGCTTGTCTGTGGAACTTTCCTGTTCGCCTGTGTCTTCATCTATTGGACTTCGATGGATTCAGACTTCCTTCTACGCACGTATAGCTCATGATTGCTGATGCACAATGTCAAAATGCGCTTATTAATCCTGGATTTCTCCACCAAGATGTGGAAGTCTTGCAGTCTTTTCTGCTGGTTGGATGATAAACTTCATGTCGTGAAAAGAGAGGTTTTGAAATTCCATCCAAGGGAATCCGATTTTAGGGTCCAACAGATTATCAGGCTCATAGACACTCAAATCCAGGGCATCAACACCAAGAATAAGCGACGAAAATCTCCAAATCCTGTGTGAATTGTAGGTACTGAAGCATTACATCATCCGATCGAACCAATGCTCGTTGGCTTGTTCGTACTCTTTCTTTCCGGAACTTAGTCGATTAATGGGCGAAGTGTGGCGACACAAACGTAGAATGCCAGTAAGGCAGTGACGTCTGTTGAGTAATAGATTTTCCCGGGAACTATCTCGCTCTTAATAAACGACCAACGTATAACAAGCCACGGAGAGAGACCCCACCTCGGCTTAAAGTCGGTAAAAAATGTTGGGTTCGCTTTCCGCTGGCACCACTTTAGCGTTCCGAGACTTCCTAACCGATGTAAGAATTTAGTAAGTGCAGCTGAATACATGTATTTGAAGACAACAGGGCAAAAATGGGCCTGGGCATGGCCTGAAGGCCAACCCACGTGTACAAGGGTCAGACAAATCATAGAGCGACCACCACATAAACAAAGCATTACACTGACATTTCCAATTGGGTAGGAGAAGGCACTAGGTATGTTTAGGTATGTTTAATTACGTGGGTTTGCGGAAAATAAGAAGGTTTTTGCCTTTTTCCAACCCAGATAAGGGCAAACGCAAGAAAGCAGTGTAAATATCAAAGCAATCACCAATCAAATAATCCAATTATTTCAATGCTTCAATATTTAGAATGACGTTGATCACCTTTTTTTCGGGTGGTTACTTTGAGATTCATCTAACACCTGTAGACCTGGGTTGGCCTTTGGTCCAAGCTCAGGCTTGATCCCTTTTCTCTCTCCGTAGTTTACATGCATTTTAGCTTCTCTTAATGTCTTCTCCTACCACAGTGGAAGTCTCGGCACATCACCATTATTCCCTTCGGTACGTCTCCTGTAACGGCTACCACTAATATTTATGACTGTAACATTTACGGTGCAGCTTATCAGACATTGGCTTTGATGGTTCTTGAGCATCTCCAACAAAGTAGGATATGCGTCCAGTCTAAAAGAAGTAATCATAGGCAAATTGCTGTTGATCATCTATCGTTTGCCTAGAGGGACATCGAGGTACTAACCGCAACAATGCATTACAGGGGGAAGGATGATTTTAAATACGACCCCGTTGGGGAAGGGGTTTAGGGTACCTTCGTCATCGACATCTGCACATACATGAGGAGGGAACAAATCTAAAACAATACAATTTCAGACAGCTTGCGGCCGTGTTACCTCATTCTGAAGACATCGCATGAGTTAGAGGAAGGCATCAAGTTGGGCTGAATAAACGTATTCTATGGAAGGAAAAGTGATCGAGCCTAAGCTTTCTGCGAAGGCCAGCTTATGCGTACAAGGGCAAAATATTTACCAAAGGGACTAAAAGATAAAGTATAACAGTAGTCCTCAACCCTTCGACGCTAGTTATATATAGAAAAGCTTAGCCCAAATTGTGTACTTTAACTTTACACTGCAGAAGCATACCACAAACTGTGAACATCGGAATTAAAGTTATAGTGCTGAAAAGTTCGCAAATGCCACCAAAATGTGGCGCCCCGAGCCTTCTTAATAGGTGAAAAGAGCATTAGTTTATGCGTAATATGCGTATTCTCGAAGGAGACAAGGCCTCGATCAGGTCAAATAGACTTTTTGACGCGAACGAGAACAGTACAGGTGCCAAAATGCTGCAGACATCACAAAAACAAGATGGCGGTGATTAATTAGTCAAGCGCTACTCTCCAAACAGTTCTAATTGCAGCATATCGCAAAGGGTACATTTGATTATCTAAGAGCTGTATAGTGGTAAGCAACTGTAATGCGTTGATCACTTACGCAATAACTATTGTAATATGATGCTTCTATTACAGTCCTTGTGCTAGAGTTGTAATAGCTTATTAATGTGACCACATGATGCCTGCCATTTAATTTGATATTCGTTTTGCGCTTGTACGCGTGGGCTGACCTCTGGGCAAAGCTCAGGCTTAATTCGTTTGCGTCCCCCAGAATATCAATCCAAATTAAATGCCTTCTTTCCTCTTGTACAAGGCTTCGGGAAGCTACAAGTGTCGCCCACTACAATGTACCAAAACAAAATTTCGATTGCTGAGCATTCTATTAATGTAATTAGCATATATGCTGCCCTTATAGAGTAGGGGTGGTTTCAACGCGAAGACCACACTTGACGAACACGAGGGCCCTTTTGCGGAGCAAGGTTGGACCGCTGCCTCGAGCACACTCATAACCCCTCTCATTCTGTAAAGACTGAAGAGTGAACACTCTCAAAACAATTCTCTTATAAAGACGGAAGTTCAAGTAACTGAGAATGGGCAAAAGATTTTAACTTTATGTGTTTTCGTGCATTATCACTTGTTCGGCATCGTAGTATAAGTCATATAATTATGTATACAAATTTTGTTTTAATAAATCGACTTTTATTTTATTGCAACCTTGTTTTTGGAATGAATTGCCCGCGTTCCTTGGTGACTTTTTCTCGGTACAATCGATGCCTTGGGTCGTAACGTAAGATAAATGCGGTGGCTAAGGCGCCATTCATCAAAAACAATTGCTGTTAAGGTTTCAACTCTTGAGTCGGACTTGGAATTCAGCATTCCTGTATGTTTTTTTTATCGGCGTTCATGCTCTCAATCTGAAGGTAAAAAGCACCGGAAAGGATTTGTTTGATCTTGTATGTGGGACCTTTGGCCTGAGGGAAACATGGTATTTCGGTTTGCAGTCCTATATTCTAGTAAATGACGGCAGTGTTAAATATTTGAACTGGTTAAAACCTGACAAAGTGCGTGCCTTTTCCTTTATATTTCCTAAAGATACTTTCTCAGCACCCACTACCATTGCCTTTTCAATTCTGTTACTTTTTCCATGCTAAATTTTATCCTGAGGATGTGGAGCACGAACTCATACAGCCCATTACAAAACATCTGTTTTACTTGGAAGTGAAGGACAAAATAGAAAACCGTGGCCGCCTAAGTCATGTTGGTGATGCTAGTGAGTGATTTGCTTCAATACTTTTTTGCGTATGAAAATGCGCATTTATGAATCATATTTGGAGGGTTCTGTTAAATTCGTTAATTTGGTTCTAACAAGTTCAGTACTATATGGATGCATCGTAGGATTTTTGAATAGGTATTTTGTGCTCTAGCGCTCAATTTTATGGAGATTTAACTTTAGATAAGTACTTTGTTACAGCATCCAACGAGTTTGTGTGCTCATGTGCACATTTGCCCATGTTTTTTAATTATAAATTGCGATTTTTATGTGCACCTACACACTATATTCCCACAGATTCTGAACTTGCAATTTTACTCAGCTTTTATGCAGCTTTCTCTGGAGGCAGCGATCCAACTCACGGTTCTTTCAGCGCAAGTGAGTTAAAGAGATGTGCCTTTGACGTGTTCTTAAAATTTGATCCACCGGGAAACCCAGTTATGCATAGCGATGTGATTTTTAGACAGTGAAACCTTACCTTCAATTTAAGATTGAATTCGAAGATTTTGGCGAAGGCGAGATGGATGACGAAACTGAACAGTTGGTACTTTCTAAGAAGCTTCTACGGCTTCTTCCAAAGTATTTGTCGGTTAATATTCAAGTAAACACAGGAGTCGCCCAGCGACTTAAGGAGTGTTACATGAACAACAAGGGTTTAAACAGGTTTGCATTATTGTATTCATTATTAAATGTTTATTGTAATTCATTTTTTTAAAGTTTGATAAAATTGCGAATCGCTGTAATACTTGACATTCTGTTCCCTCCGTTGCATTGCATTTAATTTCCGTTTCTTTTGTGGCACGAACAGTCTGTCGGTTTTCTGATAAAACTGTGTTATTTGTTTGTTCGTTTTGCCTTTTTTTGCTCGATTTCTTCACACTTCCTATCATGAACACCTAAAACTGGGCCATTAACTCTGGTTGGGAATGGTCAGCCCTTCCCTTGGCGGATCACTGTATTCTAGTCGTCCCTTTCTCAACAAAATGCAGCATTGTTCTTGGGTTTTGTCATTGTTTCTGGGGTCGCAAATAGATTGCACAAGGTACCTCATACTGTTGCACGAAGAGCAGTTCTTCCAGCAGAACATGCCCACGTAAATTACTCAAAAACTGACAGATGCAGATTTTCTTTGTCACTCATCCGTTCCAATTTTACTTGGAAATAGTTAGCGGTGGTCCACATCATTTGGATGTATTTAAGAAACTGCTCCAAGGTATGTGTTTGTGGTGATTTTTCGACGCCATACTATTCAATATTTTCTTATAGTTACAAATAGCTGAATGATGTCCTCATGTAAGTGGTGAGTCATTTGATCATTGATCTGCAGTTGACTTTCGGTTAATGTATATTGGTACTCGCATGATAAACTATACTGTTTATAAACTTGAAAATAAACATTGGGAATATGGTATGTATATGAACTAATTGCAGGAGGCTTGACGCTGACGCTGTGCTCTATATCGTGGTAGACATTGGGTGCGATTGTTATTTTCTGGGAAATAATCGTATCAAACCAGATTAACGATAGGCGGAGAGAAGTCAAAAACGACTATTTTATAAAAGTCATTGTTTATGAATGTCTAGTCTTAAGATACGACATCATATCAAAGAATAGTTCACCAAACTTGTGCTGTAGTCTTTAACATGCTCTGGGCTTCAAGTCATTTATGTACGGAAGGGAGGGGGGTGTTTGGAACAATAGCAACTTGCATTAGCGGGTCGCGATTAAGCGCTTTATAAGTAGTTTCAGTAAAGGTTGCAGAATTTTTTTATGGATGGAAAGATGAATGTCCTGGGCCGGTGGAAGGAGCGTGACCGAGATCGATTGCGCAAGATTGCCAACAAACGTTCCAGCGGCGTCGCTGGCGTCTTACGCGCCCGCCTACGTGCGTGCGTGCGCCCGTTTACGTTCACATAAAAGACAATTGGATTTCTTGTGTCCCATCCTCTCTTACCTCTTTCCTTCTTCTCACATGAATCCTTTTTCTCTAACCAACGCAATGCCAGTCAAATTCATTTTTCTCCCTTGACTACCAGCCCAGCTTTTTTGCCTCCTGCCAGATTCACTGTTAAACGCGCTTCGTTTAACCCACTTTCTATCCATCGTCTTCATTGTGGTTCGTCTCCATTTTACTTGGAAGACTGACAACACGTCATTGCCCTCACCTCGCAATAGCTGCTTAGTTTAACCTACTCCTTGAAATGTCATCACGGGTACAGTTATGCAATATTCAACAAAATGCCTAACCTACAAGATCTGAAGCTGCACCAGGTTTTAACCTGATGTTCTTGGCCTGATTGTGTTTCAATTGAAACACATTAGCAGCACTTTTATCGTAACTGCCTTCTGGGCTTCCAAAACGTTCCCCCTTTCTCTACCATTCATTTTCACTCAGCATATGTTTGCATACTGAATGTTAAAAAAAATTAAATGGAAATACATATGCGTGTCATTCAAAACAGATCAGGTTTCACGTGTTATTCACTCATTGCACCTCTCCCGTGACTGGTGATGCCTTCATGCAAGCAATTGACAGATTCGCTGATGCGTTTGATTCATTTCACTACCTAGGAATTCTCCAGTGTGCTCTGCTACAATACCTTCTATTTGCGTGTTGGAAAAGAAGATGATCGCTTCTAGCAAGCAAATCATAGGCGTCGGTATTTCTCGGGTATGCTAGTGGACTAAGGTGACCGATCTCTTCTTCCACACCGATAGATTGCGGCCCTTCTTGTTGTACTTTTTGGATAAGTTTGATACAACCTTCCATTATTCCAGCATTTCTATTTTTGGGCTAAAATGTAGGGATTAAGCCATTAACCTAGGAAAGGCAGAAATATATGGATAAAATGGCCAATACGAAACACCCCTATTTGAACAACGATGTGCTGGTTTTTTCTTCCCCTGTAAATTCGCCTGGCAGTGTTTGTCAAAATAAGCCTGGCGGTTGAAGGCATTAACCTGATTGAACTTCCATACACTGCTATGTGTTCGCATCCTCCAATTCGTCGTTCTTTCTCCAATGAACGTCCCAAACTGCAGCGTTAGCACCAATTTGTAACACTTGCTGATGTAGGTATTTACGCACTTGAGATGGTTTGAGTTTGCGTCTGCGTTTAAAGCGGTAGCATGTGTGGATCTCAATCGCCCCACATGATAATACTTGTTGGCATTATGATATCTTAAAAACTAAAAAATGTTGCGACGTTGAATGCAAGTAAATTGTGACTTATGGAATGGTCGAGCTTACAAGCTCACTCTATATTATGCAAATTGGAATGCATACACTCCACGCTTCATTCATGCCCTCGACTACAGAGAGTAAATTGGTAAAACCATTTGGCGCATCTTAACCAGAGTCATTACGATCATAGGAAGAATGTCTTTGCAAACCGAGCGGCTGTAATCAAAATTGTGGGGAATGTGTTTGTTTGGTTGTGTTAGTGGTATTGACCTCTAATCAGTTCCGCACCCCCTTTACTACTATATCCAACAATGAAGTTGCACTGTCTATAAGTTAAAAGGTAGGTTCGGACGGTACAGATTTTAGTGTCAGGCTATAGAACTGAAGCAAGAGTGCAAATGACGCCTAGGCCTAGAGTTTCTAGTGTGAGCGTCTGGAAGGTGGTGTGCATATGGGTGTAACCTTGGTGGTTAGAATGTCACTTACATAACCGCACATACGTACATAGGCGGAAACACAGGCGTGGATGCTGTGCACCTGCATTCGATCTCCTGTGGGATGCGTGCCGGACGATTGCCCACTCTCGTAGATGCGTGTATGCACGCGCCCATGCACGAGCCCACCAGATGTCCCGAAATGGATGAATCATGCCACTGTGCAGGTGGTAGAATTTTAGGTCAGCTGGTGACCTTTAGTGTGAATGCGCCTTGACGTTTGTGGAATTGTTATCCTTTGAAAGAGGCAACCTTTAGGAAGGCATGTTAATTTCTGGTTACCAAATTTCCCCTCCCTCCTGAGAGAAAATCTTTTGTCTTTCAAATTTCTCCATGAACTTGGGTCTTAAAGATTGTGGTTTAAACTCCACTGCACCAAGAGATGAAACATCGAAAACTCGCGCAACACTTAAGTACACGCAGTAAAATTTTAAGTTGTTGCTCATTCAGCCGGTAGTTTCCGACAGTAAAGTTGTTCTTTTGCGCATTAGAAGTAGGTATCAAGAGTCGTTTGCGCAGGTTTATGGTAATTACTGGCATCGTTAACTGTAACCACTCCAGTTTAGTTTTCAGCCCGCTTTGTAATGCTGATTTACTTTTTCTTACCCTAAGTCTGTGCTATGTCGATACATACTTAAGAACTCTTCAGCACAGTAAAGTGGCGTTGTAGAACATTGAATACTAAACCTTGCGTTGGATATCCGGCTCGGGTAGTAAGATGATTCTATTGTACTTCCTTCTGCAGGGAAGAGGCGGAACTGCGATATCTGAAGATTGCTCAGTCTTATCGGCTGTTTGGTGTGGATTATTTCGTGGTGACGGTGAGCCAGGAATGCTTGTCCTATCAAGACAGAAACTGCCTCACAGAATGACCTGCTGATGCGGTAGCTATATGTCTTGAGCAGCTGCTGCCAACTGCCCCTTGCATGCTTCTGTCCCCTCCTCACCTCCATCCCATGGCTCAAAATCTGACTGTGATTTCAACCACAGACTGAGAGAAACCACTTGCTTCTTAATTGTGTCCGTTTAGTGTGTACGAATGAAGGATCCTCGTACTCTCAGCCTCACTCGCTACTTCAGTAGAGCTGAATTCTCTCATTGGCGGACATTGGTGAGTAACTGCCGGTTGCACGCAGCAATTGAAGTATTTTCTAAGCATTTTGAAATTTAAAATTGTAAACTGCTCTCCTCTTACTGAGCAGTAGACTGAAAGCGTCTCTAATTGGAGAACAGAAAAAATTTAAAAGCAAAATTTTTTGGTTGTACTTTGCAAATGCTTTTTCCATCTCTAACAACTAGTCCTTTATGAACCACTTGTTGGAATTGACCGTACTTTACTGGCTCGAATTGGACATACACATTAAGTGTTCAGTTTATCTTCAGCCATACACTGGCAACAGTAGATTATAGTTACAAGATTTGCATCGTACTAGAGGGTGCAGGGAAGGCTATGGTATAGAGATTTTTCATTTGCCGCCGAAGCTCTCATCGACGCAAACGGCACAGAGGGGGAAACAGGTTTGTCACCGTTGTTTACAGTGCGCCTATGTTCAAAAATAGACCTCTACTGCATTTGGCATGCACCCTCGACCGGTGCGTTGCCCATCCTCTGCACCCATGCATCTTGTCCTACAGCAAAATAACCTCGATGTTTCGTAATTTGGGAGCACGGGATGCGCACCGCACGCACCTTTGCATGTGCGTCGTTCGGTTGCCATCAGGTTAAATTTAAACCAGTCCGGTCGACGCCTCCTGTGTACGGTGGGCGTTTCGAGGGCACGCACTGCAATCGCCATAAACCTCGGTTTTATTAAGATGGAGTTGACATCACCCAATCTACAGGAAACCTAGCGCTGTTTCTTCATTACGCAACAACGAACTCAGAGCACTCTTATTTAGCAATGACGAAGGAATATGGTTGCCTTGATTTCAAGTTGTGGTCAACTTAGTTATTGCCCCTTTCAAGGTGATGATAAGGAATATTCTTTTCATCGTTCTTTGCAATACTGGCGTTTCCATCTTCATGACGCAGTAAACAAATTCGTATGAACAACCCCGTTCGGGGTACTGCTCGAGGTTAGGTTGCATGTAGACACCTCTTGACATTCTGCGGGTGCAACACGGTCGCTTGTAGTGTCAGCGCAACACCGAGTTTTTTTGGTGACATCGAGGAGACTGCTAATTGGCTATTCCCTTTTTAAGCCTTCTCTTCCTTCCGGCATTCTTGATTTACTACTATTCACTCTCGCTGCATACGTTCACATAGGCGAAAGACTTTCCACCTACAGAGTTCAGTAGCACTTATTCTTCACAGAAGAACCCTTAGCTCAACAATTTTAGAAAACAATTGCCTGTGTCGGGAACTAGAAGCCATTGGTTGAGATGGGCGTTTGATTAAAAAGAAATGGTAGCACTTTATGGTTCAAACTAAATCAATAATTCTTCTGAGCTAGCATGCGCGTTGGGCCTCAGATAAAGGCGAAGGGTTGTTGTTCTAGCTCACGATTCGCGGTGTTTTTCTGACAGAAGGTCCGGTAGTTACTTAAGAAACACTGAAGACTGCTCACTCTGAATAAGTTATCCTCTGCTTATTCGTTCACATACCATGTCTACGAAGAGGGAAAGGAAATACAGCTCGCTATCCTTCCCTTTCTACCTTCTTGCCTACCTTTCATCTCTCAAGATGTTCTGGTGCTATTGAAAGAAGTAGATGACGTTTTGCAAGGGAGTGCGGAAATTACTCTAAAGCACTACTTAATGTCGTTTTAGTGCTGCACACAAACTTCTCAGGCGTAACACTCAAAATCGCTATTTTGGGAAGCAGTTGATTTTATTAAATGGGAATACGGCGACTCCAATATGAGCCTGTCTTTCAACCATGGCACACTTCACATAGGGTTAAAGCAGAACAAGGAGCATGCCTGTCGTAAACTTTCCAACTTCATTTGACCTTTTCGCATAAGAATTTCCCCTTCCTCTATTGGCGAAATTGTTCAAATTAACTAACAGCAAATGTGATTGCACGTTATATTTTCACACTGCATTTCCCTTGACAATTCATCGGTTGAAGGCACAGATCTTCTCTTCTAATTACTGCTTGATTATGATAATTTATCCACCGGAGTGGTCAAATATTTTTCCTCAATGTTTTGTCCACTACCCATATGCAGGGAGAACGAGCTGATATATTTGATTAGAATTTTGTTTGAAACTTTTACTTTGTGCTTCTCTGTTTCCTTCATATCAGAACGCGTAGGCATTGAGTATTCCTCTGTAATGCTAGCAATAAATTCTTTAGAAGTGGGTTATTTTATTCTACAGATAGCTCGTACCTTTTTTTTCTCTCGTAGATTAGTTATCGTTGCGAAAATAGGAAGTTGACCAATCGTTATCTTCTAATGAATTGCTATTTTTTGCCGATGGAGAAGCAGATTACGTTGCGACCAGGGATGCTTGTTAATCTTTTATGATGCTTGCAAGTTTCTCAATACTACCGAAATCATATGTGGGTAGAAAGGTTTCGTTGGTTCTCGATTTTTCGGGCGACTTTTTTCGTGTTTTTCCTCTAACGAGTACTCTTCTATTCCAATCGCTTTGCCGTCTCTGCTAGGCGGTGCGCTTGTAAGCCTTTACGACTATTCCAAAAAGTTGGTGATGCTGGCTGGTGACGGAAAGTCGGTCGAAAGCACGAATTTAGACAAAGTGCCTCTTGGACTTGGTCGTGTGATATGCAGCATTGTTTCTCGCGTGCTTACTACATTTTTGCGCCAAGCTGTTATCGTCGCGGTGCTAGCATTTGAGTTTGCTTGGTGGGGAGGCCTTGATCCATGGCTAATCGGAGCCTATGTGTTCATTTCTACGAGATTAGGAAAACAAAAATGACAGGCGCATTTTTCCGCGTTTTTGCCTTCACTGAGTCTGGATAATTCCTATTTTTATAGAAAGTTTTGCTTCTGCGCTGAAGCGACTCGATCTTAACCTACCACATGTAATCTTAAACCTCATTTCATAGCTCTCTACTTATTATCTCTTCCACACAAATAAAAAGAATCCCTTCAGATACTCGAAAACCGATGATGTCTTCTTTTTCATCATCCTACCAAAGTTCTCACATTTCATGCAAGGTAACGAACGGTGCATGGGTACCATTTCCACATAAGTGAAGTATATACTTTTCGATTTGCGAAGAATAAGTTTTTTATAGCTGAAATATGGAGGTCTGGTCATTGTTCACATTCCTGCCTACTATCCCAGTCAGTCAGTAGCAGAATGTCAAACGTTTGTTGTTGCTTGTTTTGTTGGTGTATGCATACAATTCGCCAAATAGTGCCATTTTTGATTGCACTGACGGTCGTCAAGCCCTCTGCATCCACCTCCATAAGTTTCACTTCAGTGGTGAAACTGAGCGTTGTGGAATTATAAAACAAGTCAGAAATCGCGTAGTGTGAATTTAAAATTGCTAAAATTCCAACTGGATGCAAGTGGTGACATGTTTCCGGATTACTAAGAAGTTTTGCCGATTCGGTGTATTTTTACCGTTTCTTCAGTTTATGGCATGTACAACGTTATACTGTATTATTCCTTGACTGCCGAAAATACCTGGCTGATCGGCTTCTCCTCAAACCGATTTCTGGCATCTGTTGCACATAACCCTTTCCTTTAAGCTGAAGAACTTTTGGGAAGGCAGCCCAAGCTAGCTCTGGCAAAGAGCCCAACTTTTCTCCCTGTTGTAAGGATCACGACGATGTTTTTCCCAGTTGGCTACATCCATGTGAAAAATGTGCACCCACATAATGTCACAGGTTTCGCAAACATCACTGCGTCTATACAACCAGACAGAATCCTGATTTATGCAACATGCCTTAGATGTTACATTGGGTCTTTGAACTGAAAGTGCGGGCTCCACCCATTTTCTATTACCCGCCGATCGTAGTCCTGATCTGTCTGATGTTTTCCCACTCGGAACTTCTGCAGTAAACTATCTGCAAAGCACTTTGCTGGTATTCGGGGAGGAGGAGGTGATTTCTTAGAGTTTTCTTATTTTAGTAATCTTGAACGCTGATTGCAGTTGACATTGGAAGATTGCCCCAGTAAAATTAAGTCACATTGTGGAATGAGAAGCTGCAGACTATTACGGAACTTTTTTTTGCACGCACTTATGAGTAGTCGAGGTGTGTTAAAGCCCTTTTGCACTGCAAAACGTAATTTCGTTTCGAAGTCAGTGCTATTAGTAGAGAATCTTTAGTTATTTGTCTAAGTCGCATAATTAGCACTTGACAGTGTCATTATCGGCATCAAATACAACAAAAGCGCTGCCATGGCGTAGGCAGCATACGGTAGCTTTGAAAAGCAGCACTTTGTTGGGTAAATCATGGACCACGTTTTGAATTTTTTCTCAATGCATAAATGGACCCAATCCTTATATCCTGATATCGACCTCTCGCTGTGATTACATGCATTTCAGGTGACTAAATGCATTTGAGAGGTAAAAAACGTTTTAAGTAAACTATTCTCATCTTCTATCCAGCCTATTGAAAGGTGTGTTGCAGACCAGTTTGATTACACCAACAGTTGGCTCTGCTTGTCTATCCATTCGATCTCCTTTACGTACATGCACACTCACACACACTTGAGCGACAGATGTCTGATCCTCTAGCGTCAAATACGACCATTGCTGTGGTGTGTGAATGCGAATAGGGTGGTTGTGTAGTCCTGATGCAACACTCCGATTAGCAGGTGACGTGGTCCCCCTGCCTCCCACACCCTCCCCACCACACGCACATACCCACACCCCATGTCCACCATTCAGATCGGCGGGCACGCACATACGCGTGGAGTAAAAGACAAAGTCTGATTGAAACGAACAACTGCTTCCGTCATTGTTGCTCCCCATGCAACTGACAATTAAATTGGGCATTACGAACCTCCCTTGCTTCCTCCTAGGATCGCAACCAGGAATTGTCTTGGGTTGGAATCACCGCAGCCGGAATTCAGCTTTTCTCCAAGGCTCATGTTGATCGGGCTCGGTATACGTTCCCTTGGAATATCATTAAAAATGTCTCCTATCGAGATCGCAAGGTGGGTATCCATTACCAGTGACTTTTTCATTTTACTCCTTTCCTCACCAAGGACTATGCGTGTTTCGAACCAACATCCTTACAATGTTCTTGCCAAGCTTTAAACAATCTTTTCAAATCTAATCATTTGTTCCATGTTAGTATAAAAAAACAAAAACTATGATCTTTACTACATCTACTGTAAACGTATAAAACATCGGGGTTTTCTTTTGTGAGTTTTTAGTTCACTGTGAAGTTGAACATGGCGTGGCGTCCTACGAAGAAGTCTGCTGGTCTTACGTTTTCTGGTTGCCGTCCCAGCAGCGCACAGACGCAACATCAATCAGGTCACTCGCCGAGTGGGGTAACTGGAGCATTAACGCTCAGTGAGCCGCACACACCATCGGCAGTGCGCGGCTCTCCCAGTCTTCCAGGTACCCCAGTGTCAAGCAAGCGAGGGCCCATGCGGCCCCCTCTGCCACCGCCGCCTCAGTCGCCAGTCGCCTTTGCTCCTTCCTCTACTAACAGTGTCTCGAGTAAATATCTCTCTACGACTGCTCACCTGTCACGTGGCCAATTGGTGAGGTCACGTAGCAAGGAGCGTCCGCTGCCTTCGCCTTCAGGTACTAACCTCCTTATCACTGGTTCCTAAGCAATTGGATCGGCTATCATTTAACAATTACCTGAGAAATCACCTAAAGAGAATAATGAAGGCGCATATGCTGGACGTTGATAGATTCACCCATCCGAACAAACCTGCAGCAACTAAATAAGTAAAAAGCTCACACTCAACTCCTTCTGGATGTGATGTGTGTCAAACTTTCCCTTGCTTGAGCTTACAGTTTGCTCAATTTCAATTTTCTCTGATGCCAGTAATAATCATGCTGTTTTAGAGTATAATCCGTTTTAATATTGACACATTTGCGCTGCCTTCTCAACGGAGGCCCTGGTCGAGGGAATGGGTTGTGCTTGCGTCTGAGTTACATCAAGTCCACCGGTCAAATAATCAACAAAGATTTTGGAATGGACGTCTTTACTGGCGGAAGCATAGGCGAGCTAAGGAAAGCACAGTTAAGTGATTACGTCCGAGTTGGATCCCATCAACGCTTTAATTATGCATAGCTTTAGCAAATGACCGACCTTATTATTTGCGTTTGCTAGCACATTCGAAGGCTATCCGAGCGTAGTCTCAACTGGTCAGAAGGGCGTGAGCAGGAGAATAATTTCGAGGATATTTGGAAATAGAAATTTCCAGAAAATAGGATGGAAGCGTTTTATGCCTTGAGCACCACAACTTCAATATAAATGGTGGCTTGCTTTCCCAAACATTCGGTCTGTATGAGCAAGAACTACACCTGTGGTGCTCTTAATTTTCGGCAAAATCGTTCAAGAGCTTTAGACCCTCATTGAAGAGGATAGCGGCACTAGGATCATTCTCTAATGTGCTATCAATGAGCGAGCTCAGATGGGGACAGCAATAATCGGTTTTAACCATCTACCATCTAGGCCTGCAGACTCGAGTTAATGAAGGTATGGGAGAAGAAATTCTTTTTAAATTGCTGTTCATTGTACACATCAAAATGCATGGAAGGTTTCGAACCCATAAAGCACGGCTGTATGAAGTAATGGCCAACAAGGAGAGGAAATACGGGAGCATTAAGTTTGAGTTGTGCTGTACTGTCAAAGATAAGGCTATAAGGAGGCATCAGAGTGTCCCAGGTCAGGTTTTTCTGGATTGTGATTGCTGCTGTCGATATTTTTTTAACTCCTTTAATTTCATCTCACAAATGAGCTTGAATTCATAGATTAGAAGTCTGTATTGCTTCGAGTATTTTGATTAACGAATCATTTTTAGTAACTTTTTTCAGTGACATTTGCGCTGTCAGTTTGGGCTTTACCTAGAATGGAGTCTTGAATACCCTACTTGTGTATCTGTGTTAAAATAATTTACTTTAAATGCTCATCGCTACGCTGCTGCCTCAGAGTTACTACACGGTCTAAAATTACATTGGCTTTTCACATATCAATTAGGCGTGGAGTGTGATCCGCGCTACATTTGCGTCTTTGTCCTCAAGTTTGCGGTTACTATAGCGGATAAGGGGAGATAAGTGGGGTATATGTGCGGAATTCCAAAATAGGAATTGGCTATTCTGAGTTCGTCTAATTTATAAAAGGAGTGCATGCGGTCGAAAATTTTGCTAACTACTCACATTTCTTGTTTTCCATGCAAGCAGATGGTTATGAAGTTCAATTGCGGCAAAACGCGCTGCCAATTTGTGAGGCCTTAATATCTGTAAACCATTAGATTAAGATTGGGTTAATGTAGCAAAGCAATTGGTTGTTTGGGGATTGGTCAGTTGGTGTTCAGTCACAACTGTGGCATTTCTCTTTGGAAAGCCACAAGATTTAATGCACCAACGAGAATCATACATCTAAGGTTGGTTGGTATCTCAGCTACTTAATTGTTTCAAGTAGACTAATTCGAGTATGACGCATTGCTTAACGAGCGCTCCTCTCCAACCTCGAGATCGAGTATAGCAATGCATTCACTAGATCCTCAGGAGTCCACTGCTATCTATGGAGGAGGCAGCGGCAGCAGCATTCATCCACATCGCTCGGCGGTGAGTGCGAGTCCCGCCAGTGACTTCGCTGGTGGTGGCGGTGGAGTCTTCAGCGGTTCAGGTGTTTCCTCTGCTGGTTCCGTCGCCAGTGGACCGCCTCCAGTGTCCCGCCATGGTGCTACCGTCATTGAGATGTGGCTTGCTGAGCCTTACCAGGTTCGTTTATCCCCGATTCCCTTAAAAATTTTGATGTAAAAAATGGTTGGAGGACCATAAAACTAATTTTCGTTTTTAAAACATAAGATTCCGTTGTAATAAAGCCGATAGTTTGTGACATGTAGTTTCATTGGAGCCAGTTTTCTGCTCAGCCACAAATCTGTTGGTGGCAGACTATTGCTTACAAAAGGACTTTAAATGAGGCAATTCTCTAAATTTCTTCCATTGATAGATGTTTTTGCTGTTTTCTCAACAATTGTTCTGTGGTATATGATACGAATAAGAGATGCCTAAGATTTTACTAATAGAATGCTTGTCAAGCCGATGGCATTCTCGTCCTTTGCATTTTTAACTTCAGAGCGGATACGATTCATATATTTTCAGTATCAGTCTGTTCAAGTACATAGTGAATGATGGTAACCCTTAATTTTTTCTGCTTTATATGCTCAGTTCTGTGCACTTAGATTCTGTAACTCGGTAAAAGTTGGTCGACAGTGAGGTGATCTAACAGTGTCTTAACTCTCCCTGTTCCTCCAGTATTCATTTGAATCGATCTTATGTTTTAGGCAAAGAACATTATCCATTTATGCGCAGGAAACCACTCGCTATTCATGCGACGCAGACAGCCAGATTCCGTTGACGTGCAACAGATGAAGGCTCATGAAAGAGAGGAACGACTTCGAAGGGAGGTGGGTTTGCATCTGTCAACTAGTTGGGGATTAATTGCTGGCCAGATTTGTTCAATCTTCCTTCCCTTATCTCAGACCGAAAGGGCTCGTCTATTGCGGGAACGCTCTGAAAAGACTGCTGCGCTTAAGCTAAATGCCGCCCTCGAGTCGCGCTGTGCCGAGCTTGAGTCTGCCCTGCGCTCATCCACTGCCATTGCAGCTGCGGCGGTGTCTGCCGGATCGGCTGCTCCGTCATCACCTGTGGAAGCACTCATCTCCAATTGTAGGCCGTCGAAACGAATTACTATGTCCAAAGACGGAGACGAAGGAGAAGTGGGAAATGGGGAAGAAGAGAGAGAACTGGATGAGGAAGGAGATAAGGTTAATATTGATGAGGAAGAAGGAGAATTACAGGGCCAAAATGAAGTTCAGTCTTCCTCAAGGGAGCCTCGGGATCGTCTTCCCAGCCCAACAGTTTATGCTCATTTGCAACATCAGCGTCTGCAACGACATGGGGGAGTGAAAGGCAGACGAATCAAAGATGAGCATAACAAAGGCATCGATTCATCCTCTATCTCTGTGCGCCTTGCTCAGGCCTCACCACATGCAGTCCCCACTGGCATTTACGAGGGCTTTGTAATGGCTCAATCTACAACTGTGACCTCGATTCCCACACAGTCAGAACCGGCCATCCCACAGACGGTCGCATGGTCTCCTGTGCGTTTGGTTAACCCTCCATTAGTTATTGTTTAGTCGTATCTGTTGAGGACATTTTGGGCATAATCTTCCTTCAGAACCAAGTATTTAAATGTGATTTTTTCCACCATGGTCGTGCCAAGGTCGAGAAAAACATTGAAGAATGAAAGTTATTTAATGCATGACACTTGAAAACTGCCTGTCAGACTAACTGATTTAAACACCCACTTTAGTGCATAAAAGAATTGAGTTGATACTGACTACTATTCTTTTCTCTTTATTGTGTTCACACTTGTTCACAAGCGAATCTATTTTTACAGTTCTCAAATTTTGAATAATCATTCGTGAGTGCAAAATATCAATGTATCAATGTCATAGTTAAAACGGTCCGACATTCTTAACTTGGGTTTTGATGTGACCTCATACGGAAGAAGTCCACCCATTCTTTCACCCAGACTGTAATCCATCAAGCGCGTGAAGGTCTCACCTCTCTGACCTACTCTCAACCGCCTTTCCTACCCCCACGTCCCGCCTTGGTGACCCAGAGCCTGGAGCATTTGCCAAACCACCAAATGGCCTTAAATCTAAGTCAGAGGTCAAGGGTTCCTGTGCCGCTAGTGTCTTATCCTATCACATCCACTCTCTCCCTTCATTCTGGCTATGGAGCAGTGAATCCACTTCAAAAGACTGGTCCGATTGTTGTGCCCTCCCTCGCATCTAATTATTATGTGAGTATGAGTCACGTACACCAATGTTTTGTAGCCTACTCATAAAATGAGACTGGAAAATGTTTGGCCGACTCAGTAATGATCAGATATTTTAATGTGTTACTCTTAGATCTCAGGTTGATAAATATGCATAGCTGAAGGTAACAGGTGTTGATTTCGAAGTCGTCTTGGTGTGAATTTCAGATGCAACAGAGGCTCACCCATCAAGGACAGTCTCCCTATCCCTGGCCAGGCACGCACATTTCAGCGCTGGGTAGCGCCCACAGCGGTCGTCTTTTCAATGGATTTAGCTATCCTGGTCATCTTAATTTGACGGGTGACGAGTCGTCCAGGCAAGACATTGCCATTCCTGCAGTTGCAAAAACCAGTCCGTCACTAGGAGCGACTCAGGCGATCTGTCGGATCTTCGATCCCAATAGTGGACGAACTATCGGCATTCCTCCCTCCGAATCGGTGCCTTCAGTGGGTCAACCGACGAACAGTCGACCTCCCGTCTCTCATCAACAATCCTCCATGTGGAGTAGTGGCTTTCCTCTTGTAAGATTCAATGTGAACTTGTGTCCAGACTGCAGTTGGTGATATGACGTTAATTTGAATTGTATTTCTCTCGTTGATGCAAATAGTGGTTTAGGAAAAACTTTGGCAAAAGTCTGTCATTATTCCGCCGCGTAGGCTAGGTAGAGGGGTGTATATTGAAAATGGAAGTTAGAAATGCTGTATTTAAACAGCCAATGGAGTTCTGTCAACAACTATTTTTAAATTAGTTCATATGCTCTTAGCTTTGGCTGAAGAAACGAAAAAGGTTGAAATTTTGTTTTTTTATTTTCTTAGTCTACTCTCTTCGTCTCAAACGATCAACTCTAGATTTCCTTCTGAATTACTCCGATTTGATTTGATTTCATTTGTTGCAATGCAGGAATAACTTGGGCTGTGCTCATTTAATATTGGTGAAATTGCGACTTTGATTTTAGAGTGCCTGTTCAAACCCCTATGCCAATTATCCTTATGTACCCTCGAATTCTGGCACTCCGATGTGCTACTGTCCGCCATGTGGCTACCGCGGCTTCAATTCAGTAGCTTACTACGATGCAAACTCTGCACAGCCGTGCTTTAGTCAGAGTGTTCCATGTGCCCCTGTCTCTATGCCGATTCTAAACGCAGGAGACGAGTTCTACATGACAGGAGGTGGTGAGACAGAGGAGCTCCCGTGTCTCTCCGGATACTATCAACCTCCGTGGTATCCTTACTATGATCCCTACTGGCAATGGCTTCGAGCCGCGACTGGGGTTGCCGCTTCCGGTACGATTTCCTCTACGGGTGTGGGACCTAGAGCTGTGGGCTGGTTTCCTAATTCAGTTCCTCCACCACCTCCGCCACCACTGCCGTTGTCAACGTTGACGAACGCACCACTTAGTGCGATGCTCTCGCCTTACGCAGGACCTACGCGGCGCCGTATACAACAGCAGAAGCTGGCTGCCACCAGACAGCTGCAGCGACAGCAACAGCATCTGGATGGCCATGAGGGTTCGGGACTTACATCAAAGCGACAAGTAATTCGAGGCGTTTCACTTCAGGACTTGCCCAGCAGAACCAGATCGGATAGTGAGGGTGGTAAGAATGATCAACTGTTGGAGATAATTGATTTTGGAACAAATTAATTTTTTTATTTATGAACCAGTCTCATTAGTTTGTTTTGCAAATGCTTCAAATGGGTTTTTTGTGCTTATTATCTAATTTTCTTTACGGAACTAATCCACTTGTTCTGATCTTTGATTTCACACGTGCTTGAATTTCTGTTACGGAAAGACGCAATTCGTACGTACATTGCAATCGGATGGACTTTTGACCAGCAAATGGAGTTGGAAGGCGATGAAAATTGGTAGCACTTTTGCATTTTTTGTTCACAGACTTCTTTTAGTACGAAGTCTTTGCGGTAATTTTGTCAGTATGTATTAGTAGAAGTGCTAAAGAAATTTCTATCTTAACTAAATGATGTTTCGATACATCGTCGTCGTTGCTGCACCTTCATGCTGACGTAGCTTTATGCAAGGAACTGCTAAGTAATCCCACCTCAGTTAAGTCAGAGCGCATTATGTTTTAGGTTATTCTAACTGGCTGCCAAATTTTGATTGCAAGTTTCACTGTCGTAAACTACATTGTTTGTAAGCGGGTTTGACGTCTGAGGCGAAGAGCTTACAGAGCAAACATAGTTGGTAATAGAATAATAATGTTAGTTTTGATGTTAATATTTCCCCAAGTTTACTTGGGAATCACAATTATCACGTAGGTTTTCCTGGAGTTAAATGAACAACAAACAAATGCTAAAACTTCTTCTAGAGTAAGAACGTATTGTTATTTTTGTATGGACTGTTTCAACAGGTTTTCTTCTGAAACCAGGTTTTGGAATCGATCATACGCGGGAGTACTCGGCATCGCGGCCTTCGCTGGTCCAAATGGTCGCTGCCACCTCCTCTGTCCCATTCCAGTCCTCGGACAACCACGGTGGAGGGGGCAGCGGCAGCTATGGCGGTGACGGTGATGCGAGACTGGAAGACCAGCAGCCACCTGGCATTTTTACTTCCCCACCGCCACCTAATCTCCTCACGAATCCCGCCTCCTCTTCAGAAGAACAGATCCGACTTACCTATCAGCAGCAGGTGAGAGTGTTCGGTAGATTCGTCCTGCTCTCTGTGCTGTAGCAGAGTCGGTTTTATTGCAGCGGTCTCTACAACTACTTAGGTTGTCATAAGTGCAGTAAACGATTTCACAGGCTGTGTAGCGAAGGTAACAGTTCAACAAAGAAGGGAATGGGCGACTTACGGATTGAAACGCTAAAATTTTCATATCTATCATTGACCCATTGAATAGTTTTGTTGCAGATTTGAAAACAACCTCATAATATATCGCATTTCTCTCGAAGACATTACCTGTAATGCTGCAATTTTTTTTGCATTTGAAAGCAACTTTATTCCGTTTTTGAGATAACATTACCATAAACATCCTATTTTCTTATATTGACTTTGTTTTGGTAATCAGTAATTAATAACTTTACACTATGAAAAGAAGAGGTCACTTATGTTTACTCCTAGAAATTGCCAAAATATTGTGCTGTCATCACAATGGCGAATATCGAAAAGATTTCCTGATTGCCTATTTGGGGCTTATCAGGAATAAAGAAGCCTACCTTATTCCAACTAATTTCTGTTCATCATAAATGATTCAACAAGGGCGAACAAGATTTTCCTCCAAAAAGCCGTTGCTGCTGAACCTGCAAATCAGAGTCGTGTTGGTTTGCTTCTGTGAGAGAAATGCAGCAGATGAATGATATCATTTCAGATGCAACTGCATCGGCGTATGTGGGAGGAATGGATGTGGAGGGCAAGCACGGCTTACCCTTCACAGAGGGTGCAAGGTGAGGTCACGGAGCTACCTGGACGTCAGCATCTCTCCGTCCACCCCTCTCCGGCCAGTGCAACCGGTGCTAGTGTCGGTGGTGGAGCTCTCCTTCGGCGTATGCCACCTCCACCACCTCCAAGGTCTGTTTCATGATTGTTTACCTCGAAACTGTTTCATTTAATTATTATATTCGCTTGCAGACTTTCCTCATGCTTAATTTAATTTTCGGTTATTAAATAATCAGTTCCCCTTAATTTTGCACATCTTAGGACATTCATTGCGTTTCACATGGATACTGAATACTATAATTGGTTTTCTCCCTTTTTATCATAGAATTTATAACTTCTCTTTATTTTCACTTTCCTGGTAACTTAGGCGATTTTTAAGGTACATTAAATTTTTTTATCAATTTGCACAATCAAAGATCAATCTTACAACTGACTTATTATACTCAATAAATGGAATGAACGTACGAAATATTGTTGCTAGTTGTCGGGGTGGGGTCTATGCATGAGCTGCAGAAATCAGTTCGAAGTTCTAAGGTTGACGCATATCTTTAAAGGATTCAAGGTCTTCATTTTGTCATTAAAGAACATCTAGTATCCACCACTACTAGTCGTTGTTTATGAACACTCTTTGCTACAGCTACTCGCAGTACTTGGCCGCAGGCACGTCACCACAATCGGGACAACAGCATCTCATCCCGATAGGCGCTGTGACGGATATCCGTGACCCCAGTGGACCCGACGGCTCTAGCTCAGTAGGCTACATGGGTCTCGATTTTCATGGAGTGACTGGGGGCGCTCCACTCTCCACTGGTGCCTTGACAGAGGCACCACCGCCGCCAACATTGGAAGAGCCCTTCCACCATCAAGAACATCTTCCCAGCTCATTTGGTAGTCTTCAACGTGGTCAACACCCTGGTGATATATCTTTCGCTTCACTATATACATTATACGAATAAGTACCAAGTATCAAGTCAGGCAACCAAAATCATCCCAAACCACATTTTATCCCTTTAAGTTAAGTGTGTTTGGTAAATGTGCCTTTGAAGCACAATACTACAAGGGGTAAGGAGGATTCAATTCCTAATTACCTGATTCTGAGCTCGCAAACGATTTATTCTGCGATCATAATATTGTCATTTTTTGCAATGGTGTTTTTTTTTAACTTTATTTAATGCAGTCAATTGTATCAAGAATGTGTTTCCATTCCAGGTTTAAATATAATGGCTACTTCATTCATTCTTTCTGTGCCTTTAGGATCTGTTGATCGATTGAGTACAATGGTTCGTTTAAGTCGGTCTTCAGTGCCAGGTCATACAACAAACAGCCATCTCTATGCTAATATGACTCTTGTGGATGGCAAACTTGTGCCACTGATGGGCCGTCCTGCCCCCGTACTTTCTGAGCAACCATTGTGCGCGCCGGTTCCCTTCGGTGAGACGCGTACAGTGGGTGCTACGGCAACTGTCGCATCACGAGGCATCTCATGCGCCACCTCTACTACTGCTGTCTCAGTTGTTCCTACATCCTCACGTCGATCTCGTCCTCTAACTAGATATCACTCTTCGCAGACTGTCTGGCTTACGGGTGCCATCTGCGATGTGGAGGCTCCCTGCCAGCCCTCTGAAAGCGACTCGCCACAGTTTCCTCAATCTAAAGTGGAACTTCCCAAGGGTGCCGGTTTTTGGGATCCTCAGTGATGCTCCTCTTGAAAGAATGAAAATCTCTAGGAATACTTTCGAATTCCCTTCCAGTCTTTCATGTATGCATTTGTAACTCTACTTTGACCTTGCCTCAATTCTTTCCCGTCCCTTTCGGCTGTTTCTCTTGGATTGTTAGCTATCTCCTGCAAATTACTTATGTGGAGGACCCGGAAAACTGTCAGCTCTCAAACCCGCATATCAGGCAGTCTACTGGTCTTTCTTTTGAACGTGTATAAAATAGTGCAGTTGTATATGGAATGCTACCCATCATTTTTTGTCTGTTTCAATAGTCCTTGACTTGGTGATCACCTCCAATGTATACTCGAGATGTTTGGTGAGGCTTGTCACTCGTGCACCTGAGTAAGAGGACGGTCTTTAGCCACGGTGGGCTTTTGAATCAAAGATTAAATGAAGAGCCTGTTTATAGTTTTATTGTCTGACAAATCACCATAAGTATTGTTGTAGTTGGACTGGAAGTGATTTGGCAAAAGCTTTACTCCTTGAATTCCATTTTAGACCCGACCACTTCCAATTCCGTCTCATTTTCATCTTCCACCCGCGCATCCTGTCACACACCATTCTGAGGTAGTTATATTGTCAGTATTATGTGCAGAAACGTGAGTTCAACGGGAATGCAATAGGGATGGGGTGAAACCTTCTTCCGCTATTCAGGACCAGCACATTTGAATTGCCATGCGGCTAAAGGTATCCTCATTCGCCTACCAAACTCTGGGACGAATAAAATCCATGTATTGGTGCAGGTCTTTAGTTGTTCAAGAAACAACTCAAGATACACGACGTATCTACGTAGCATTTCGGAAAAGAAGCGCAACATGGGAACATTTAAAGCTTCCCGTCATTTGCCTTCTGCTTAAATCACATCACTTTGCCTTGTAGCATTTTTATTCTCGATTTTTCGTCCCTCACAATAAAGATTAAAAGATAATGACATTTTAACTTTCAAGTATTCCAACCCGAAGACGTATTTCTTCCGGATTTTAAGAAGAGAGACTTCCTGGTCTCCATTACCGGCACTGAGTCGCCTAGACCGATTTTAAGTGGTATGTTCGACTATTGTGACGCGTTGAACTTCCATACAAATTTCACGAAAGGTCTCTTCATATCTGGAATGGACTTAATCCACGTAAGTCGGACCACTTCAAGATTGCATGTACCTGCTATAACTGACTCTGTGTGAAACCTCATAACAAAATGGAGGTTGTGAATGCAACAAGACGTACCCCCTACTTCATAATGCTTTCCTACAAAACACCAGGATTCGCAAATTCCTGTAAGCTGCAACAACATTCTGAAGGATGTCATTTCCTAAACTACATTATTCGTTTATCAAATTAGTTGAAATATGTCAAGAGGCTGAAAATGGAAGAAGTGTTTAGTATTATATAGTTTACGACAAGTAGTAAATCCGGTATTCAAAAAATGGCTTCAGATTTGCGATTCTCGTGATTAGCAAAAGAGCCTTGACTCGGTAAGGTCAACGTCATTTAACAGCAGTGACAAGCCAAATACAGTTGTGGACATTAAAAACCTCTGCTAACCTTAGGAAGGGACGGGAAGAACCACGTTGCCAATTCACATGGTGATGAAGAAATGTTTCCAGATCTAAGGTTATTCCGCTGTCGTCGATTGTGACAAGAGCATCGATTCAGCGTCACGTGCTTAGCATCTATGCAAATAGCCTTTTCAAGCTGGAGAAGATGATTCCCTCATCTGGGGACACCTGTTTGGCAACAATGGCAGTATACAGACCGGGATATCTCCTGCTAGGAGGGGATACACCGCAATCACCTCTTAAACTTCAGGCCCTGGATAGTCACGATTCGGTTTATTTAAAAAGTTCTCACCTTACGCAGCGCAAAGAACAGGCCCTCTTCAACCACAGTTTGGTGAAATCAAATGGAAGTGACATTTCCGTAAGAAGCATCAAGCCCGCCATTCCATCAGCAAATTCTAGGCAGGTCAAGAAAAAACCTGCTATTCTATTTCACTCCAGAAGAATTCAGCAAGAGGCGGAAGTGTGTCCCTTCATTCCACTGATACAAAACTTACCCGTTGTTGAACAGGAGGTTATTGTCATTGAAGATAAGACTACTCATACAGGCGGTAAAACCGCTTCCGAACAACACGTAGAAGCAGTTGGCACTGCGATTCGAAGTGTTTCCCAAAAGTCCTCTACGTCGAACTGTCTTGAGAAACGCATCTTTGACCACTACCAAAGGCGTGAAGGTAGCGTCTGCGACCCGATGACCAAGACGAGTTTACTAAAAGATCAGGTGCGTTCAAAGGGATGCAGAGCGATTCAGGTGTCCACGTCTAGCTCAGGTAGTGGGTGGGTGTGTGATCTGAATACTACATGTCGGACACCAGAAAATACGATTAGATCGGGTCACTATCACGAGTGTACGGTTATTGATAATAAAGACACTGATACGGTGGTACCAGAACAAGATATTTCTTCGGAGCTGTCTCTTCAATCACACCAAAAGCATTGCCAACATTGCGATTGGGGGTGCAGAGCCTCAGAAAGCGCTGATACTCAACCTCCATCAATTACTTACGTCTCACAAAAGAAAGAATTTGCCAAAACCTCATGCACAGTGGATCTGATCAATGCAGACTTAAACTTCGCTAATGGAAAGGTACAAGAAGCACCCGCTGGGGAGATCCTTGCATCGGAGGAGTCGCCGGTCGGTCTCTCAGAGGCCTTTATGAACGCACTCCTTCGGGTGCATGAAAAGCCCTTTTTGGATGGAATTTTGGGCCGAATTGAACAAATAAGATTCCATTGAATCGACCGCTTACTTTTCCACTTCAAGCACTTCAGTACACCATACGATTCCGTGCTACACTTTATTATTTGAAGTTGTGCTTCTCGGACAACTTTAAATGTTCCTATCCTTTTATTCATTTTCGTCACAGCCTTCTTCTTGTAAAACACACTTGTTCGGATGGAAGTGGGTTTAAAATGATGTACAATTTCGGAATAAATGTGACTTACTTTAAAGGCAGGCAGGAGTCCTATGGCAGCATTTTACATTAGCTTTTTATTACCGATCTCCTTTTGTACTCTTGAATGAGCTTTCATGTCAAATAAACATTCTTTCCTAACTAAATAATACGGTCTTGCATTACACGATTTAATACAGTGCATAGTTTTTCAGGGCAATGTTTGCAGCATGACTTTATCAAAGAGAAAATGAATTAATTAGTAGTTGCTATTGCTTTGCTTTGCTATCGCTTTGTTCACTAGCACCTAATATTGTCTGTCAACCCGCCTGCAGGATCTGTCGCATCCCAATGGGCCTTGGTGCTGGGATGCAGCCTTAGACACGCTCACAAAGCGACTGGCATCTCATTCCGTATATCGTCGCTCACCGCAAGCTTGTCAAATGATTGTGAGCCAAGGGCTAGTAATTGGAGCAGATGTACTGCAAAACACTCAGACTTATATTATTTCATGAAATTCAAAGCAAAAACAGCAGAAATTTTAATTACAACGTTCAGGGTTTATAAAGCGCAGTGACTTTCATGATAATGCTCACCATTTATTGCGAGTGACCAATAAAGAGCTCAATTTTTTCGTTGGATATCACCCTACCCTTTACGAAGAGAATGAGAGTCAAGTGGTAACGTGAAGAACTACATTTCTGCTACCACCAAGTGATCAGACCCGCTTTCACATCACCGGATGGTTATTACCTTCCCCGCTCATGAAGCAGTATTTGTTTTAATGACCCTAAACGTTTGCAAAGGATATATTTCGATGTAAATCATCACCCAAACAAACCTCATTTTAGCCGAATGACAGGATACTCTACGATCACAACTTTCCGCACTAAGGAAAATGCATTAAGGAAATATGCTGGAGAAATTGTGTAATCATAAAAAGGCGTTGAGGAGCTTAGCCAACCAAAAGAGTCCAACCCGGTATTTATCACTCTTCTGACTTTGCTGGTGGTACATTAGGCTAAGAAATGGATGCACCAGTCAAAGAAACCATAAAAGTAGATGTAAAACTATACATATCTAAGGCCATTATAAAGGTCCTTGTTGCTGCTGCTTAGTTATTGGGGCTATGGTTAAGTTGAGGGGCTTCAGTAGCCTTTGCGTCGAACCATGGCGAAGTGCGTGGTCTCCCAATCATTCTTTCGTCGGTCACCACGCTGAAGAGTGCCAGTAAGGATGTAACCAGCATGAAAGTCTGACTGGGTCACATTGCTGGTAAGGAAGATGCAGAAGTGCGGTTTACCAGCCATTCCTTCCTCGTCGTCCTTGAACTTGCCCGTCACGAACAGCGCACCATCGTGCTTTGTACACATGGCCTTCGCCCGTGCCACGTAGCGCTTATTGGGTCCGCAGGTCTAAACGGGTGAAAAGTGCCCTCTTAGGTTTCACTTTCTCTAGGAACAATTAGGCTAAGATTATTTGGTACTATGTCAATAAAATTTTATGAAAATAATCAATTTGAGTAGATTCAGGTGATTTTTAATGAATTTCCTTTGTACAGGGAATTCAAACTATCTGCTTGTGCCAGAAAAATGTCATCTGCTAATAATATTGGACCGGAAAAGGTGAACATTATCCATCTATAAATCTATCATGCACCACACATGAGAGGAGCTTCAATGCCGTATCTTAAGAGATGAAAAGAGCATACACTGAGCATACCAGAACCGGAGGAAACGCAAGAAGAGCGAGAATGAGGAAGAACCCATTGGCTCACCTTGACAACAGAACAGTAGCGACATGTAAACCAGGGAAACCTCAGCTCCCATCGATTGCACATACTGGTAGAAGGAATACCCTCAAAGGCGTACAGTTCCAATGACATTTGGCGGCCGTTGATCCGAATAAGCTTGTCGCAGCGTCGACCCAGGGTTTCGTAATAGAACAATTGTACCATTCCTGTTCGATCGTCCAGTAAAATGTTTTCATTCATTACTAATTCATGTACAGAAGTTTTAAGTGTCTCGTAGTTGTCAGTTGCCATGACGAAGGCATTATTTTAGGTAATCCAACCACACTTGAATGCTAACTAAACTTCCACTAAATAAGACAATTTGGACAATATGGTGGCATCTATTGATATAGCAACGTTTTTTGTCTTAAAATAAATGGGAAACTTCAGTGAATCTAGTTAATCCCGCTAATACATTTCTGTTTAAACGGTTGTGCAGTTGCATTTATTCGTGGGCGCATCGACTGGGAATAGGTTTATTTTGGTGCAAACAAGTTATAAGCTTGACATAACATTCTGCAATTGTGATTAAACTTAAAGTGCCGTTGATCGCAAGCTGAAGCATTTTAATTTGTAAAATAAAGGCGGACGGCATATGTGCAGCTGCCTTCCCTTCCAAGAGAGTGGAACAGTTGCTCTCTAGCAAAAACGTATTCTTAAACGGAAGATGGCGAGTTTTTGACTTCATTTCCTCGCCTTAGTACAAATAACTTACAAATTTAAAATTCTCTTGATTCATTCGGCGTTAGGGCAGTCGATGTTTGACATACAAGGCAGCTTTGAAGTCTAAAGACAGATGTTTGAATGAACGAAAGTACGATACTGTTGGCTCCCCATACGCCGCACGCTCGTAGATCGAGAGCTCATCATAATCGAAGCCCTCATCTGTCCGTAAGTTTGTGATGGAGCATAATTTATGGGTTGATGAGGCAAAATATGGCAGATTTTAGGATTTTGGACAGTATTTTTGAATTCGAAAGAAGGAGGACCTATGACACATGTAACAGGTGTTGAAACTGAACCACCAACTGGCTCCCTCATAACTATGTCGAAGAATTGTTCCAATGGGTACGAATATAAAGGAAACTAAAGTGTTCAAAATAGGTGCTAGATTAGGCAATAAAATAAAGTCATTTATTGTTGTCAACTTCTTGTAAATCGCACTGGAAGCTGGAGGTTAAAATATCAGTGCCCGAAATAGTATTTAATAAGTGCGGTGGTTTGGCAATTAAAAGAGACAGGTGGAATGGGCATTGGTGCTCGAATCACTTTGTTTTTGAGGACAGTGCGCAGAGAAGCATTCACTTCCTTTCATGGCGGTCAGTATAATTGTTTGGCCAACTGCAACTGCATGTGCGAATGCAATGACTTGCTTTTCAGGGGATTGAAATCCAGTTATTTGACAACCACTGTGTACCATTACGTTCTGCTGCTGAACTCTGAGACTTGGAGCTCTTCATTACAAAATTGGTTTTAATACTAAGACAGATACTTCAGTCCAAAGAGGGAAGAAAGATTGGGAGCAAAGCAATTGAATTACCAAGGAAAAATCTAATTTTCCTGCAGCAAAAGTTGTATAACGAATTTAATTGTGCATTTTATGCGCTTAGAGGAAGTTTCAATCTCTTTGACTTCTGGGAATTATTGTTGTTATTATTAGTTGAGGTGAAATGCCTTTTATCTGACAAAACAACCGTCATTGGTCAAATATCCGCCTGAAACATAGCTTGTTGGAGCTGCAAAGGAGAGCATGAAAATTGGTTTCCATTACGTTGGGTGTTATCTTAAATTGCAACTGAGTCGTTTTGAATTTGTAAGGGACTACTGCTCCAAGGCTGGTAGCAATTGACAAACGAAATAAATGAAACGAGGTTGTAGGTTGTTACTGATTAAGCATGAACCCTTCTCTGATATTGTATACCGCCACTCCATCTGCCATTAACACTCCATTGGGTTTTTAATCCATGACGAAAGGTCGGTACTTTAGGAGCTGGTAGTGTTTGTCATCTGTCGCCGCTGTGGAGAGCCGTTGTGTTCTCAGGCTCATCGCAAAGGAAGGCTGTTATAGAGAACCGAAGAAAATGTTGCCCCAGTGACAAGACAATGCCTTTTGACTGCGTGTAGTCAGGTGCTAAGCTGTGTCTGTGGTTAGTTTTTATGAATCGTAGGTGCTCATCGTAATTTAATAGAGTCTTAAAAACCCAAATCGTCGCATTATTTCAGCGAAGTGGCAGACGCCTGCGACTCATAATCACTGGTGAAGATGGCACACTGAAACCGAAAATTCTCAACCCATGCAATATGACGTAGACAAACAAAAACCAAAAGCATCAATACGACCAAACTATGTAGTCAACGATCAACTTTAGACAAAACTATAACAACATGGTTCAAGAATACGTAATGATGGGATAAGGCTGTCTTACACAGGTAGAAGGCAAATGTTGACTAAGAATAGCCATAGTAGTGTCGGTTCGGTCTCTCATTCGCCCAATGCTATGACTATGCTTTAAGTTCTAAAGATAATCCTTTAACTTCCCTGATTTCAACTTCTGAGTTCAGTAAATCACAAAGGGACCCAAAGACAGGTTTGACATGCTTACTGTCAGCACGAACGACAAGATAAAGGAAAGGCCACTTCTGGCATTTCGAGGGGACACCAGTTGCCTCACGTATCACATCACCCCTTTATCCGGCGGGAGACAGGATGGAGTAAGGAAAAAATCCTCTTAAATGAGGTAAATCGTTTGTAGGTAAAATAATTACCATTGATAAGAAGAGAAAGAAATATATTAGGAGCTTCTAAACATCGCAGACAGCTGCGACTCTTTGGTAGGAAACTGTCCACCAGGACAGAAAACAAGGCTCCCAAGTGATGAGTAAACTTAATTGAGGCACATCCACCTTCTAAACCATAGTAATTGACAACGTTATAAGTGTGTGCTGACCCACTTATTTTGAGACAGACAACTTGAATCACATCAGTAATCTATTCCACGCACAACTCTCATCCGAATTAAACCAAACTGGAAATATTTGATTATAAAAGTGGCAAAGTGAATAAGTTTGCTTCAAAGTGGTGTATTCACTGTTTATAGCTCCAAAGCCTGGCTGTCTCAGTCAAGACTCATTCGTTTATTAAAAACATTGACAGTTCGACCTAACACCTTCAAAAGACTCGGTTGCCGATTGTGGTTCACAAAAGGAAGATGGCGGAGCGATAGTTGAAAGCCATCCTGCATTCCTTTCCATAAAACCACCTTATGCACATATTTTGCTTCCATGTTCTTGGTTGCTACGATAGTGGGAATTAAATATGATTTCATTTTAATTGTACTGATGATTATCCATCAGTTGAAACCTTGAATGAAACAAAAAACTGTACCTAGGCCGGAAATAGAAATGTCTTTTGAAGAATCCTACGCCAACTTAGGTGGAACGACTACCTCTAGACAGTCTGTTAACCCAATGTCATTAAAGTATCAACTGTTGCATTTGCGTTTAAAAGATATTAAATACTAGCCTTACGCTTTTAACGCATTTTGCTTATTTCATCGGACCAAAAAGCATAAAAAGAATACACAAGTGGAGAGGATTAGTTACATCTTTCCTCGACTGAAATGGAAGATAAGTACTTTTGGGGAGCATGTAGAAAGCAGGATTCGAGGTCTTCACAACCAGTGTATTGGTTCAGGCTTAATGGTTTCTCCTAGGAGAACAATAAGAAAGGAGTCGTTCGCCCCGAGAACCTCATCATTTAAGGCCATACGGAGAATGATAGCAAGAAGCACAGACCGTTGCATTCTCATCGTTAGCGGTTAGGGTGAATTTTTCGCCCACGATTACACATTTTAGTAAACAAATGCAAAACAATCGCTTTTCGTTCCCACAAAATAGGGTCATTCCAACTCACGTCTTCACAATGTTGGTCTTGTCGGGTAGTAATGATGCAATGGAAAACTCGCAACTAGCCTTTTCACTAAGCTAAGGAGACTTTTATGCTTTCCACCTCACATAACTTACACCGTTTTCGCATCACTTTAATTACCTTTTCCAGAAGAGTGTTCCATGTTTCATGCTTAAAAAACAAAATTCATATTTAGAAGACTCGTGGCATATGTAGACAACAAAACGATTTTCATTTATGCAAATGAGTTTACTGCTATGAGGAGAAGGTTGGCGTTGTCAGTCTAATGAGTGATAGAATGAAGTTAGCTAGAAATGCTGCTACTGATTAAAATTGAACATTTTGTTTAAGTATCATCGCAATTTTTTTATGCAGAGACCAAACGTCACAATTTGACTGGACTTTGGTGGTCACAAGCGGCACTCCAAGAAATAAGCTAAAGCGGAAAAAATTTAGCCGCCTTCCTACAATATTGTAAACCAGCACTTTGTTTCTACCCACCAGTTCCTACTGACGATTAAAAAGTGTACGAACCAACCGACTTTTGCTTTTCATTTAAAGCTAACCGTAAGCATAAACAGAGGCTTTTAAAGCTAACTAATTCCATGCAAATTTATTTTCAAGTATGAAAAATTGTCAATAATTCAGTTAAAATTAAAAGACTAATGCAATATATTAACTGTCTTAGCCCTCGCATTACCCCGAACAAGCGTCTCAGTGAACGCTTAATCAAAGATTAAATTAATGGCTTATTTTGCCTGCTCTACGACGCCTTGAAAAAGCGCACTGACAGAATGTCGACTAGCTTTGTGTCGCACGCTTGGACTACGATGTGTGGATTGAGAAAACAAGCCCAAATCTGCTTTCCCACCATCATTTAAAGGGCTCTACATAAGTGTGCATCGTGGTTACTACCATAACTGAGTCCAGTCTGAATATCATCAAATCGGCAACAATTGGCCATTTAGGAACGCATGGCAATAGCGAAAAAAGCATCTCAAAATCGTTACTCGACTTTTGTTGACCAGGCGGTGCACTCCGTCATCCCATAAAATCGGTTGCATTCGCAGCAGAAGGCACCATTCTATGCAGTGTTTTTGATGCTTTCTGTGAAGCGCATTTTACAGATCAGATGGTGTAATTTAGTTTTGTAAAGAAATTGCATGGCAGTGAATACAGTGTATCATGGCGACTTTTGCATGATGTTGCGGTAGGCGAATACTGTACGCAAGCTATCCGCAAAAGGTCACAAGATCAC